GTCATAGTGTGATCTTGGTGTAGGTCGTGTAAAATGAAACTATTTAAGCATCTAATAGAATACAAAATTCAACAAAACGATATTTTACACAAACATAAATTCAATTCTAGTTAAATATCTGATTATGCTTTCCTACGTTATTAATATTAGATATGTTTCGTGAACAGAAGATATTTATTACTTAAGAACAGATCCCATCAAGAACTTAAATAAACTACCTTTAGTCTCTTGCTATTATCTTATCAAAGTCAGTTAATGTCACCACTATAATAAACAACACTACAAAATAACTCATAATTACACTGTAATTCGATAAAAAATGTAATCAAAAGTGAAAAATACCAAAACAGAGTCAATTTTAAAGCCATCCCGTCTCAATACGAGGGTGATTGGCACCCCCGACACGCGACCGACACGAGGCCGACACGAGGACGGGACGAGCACGGCACGTGACCGTAATGTTGTAGTGACGGAACTCAGGACGAACCGCATGTGACCCAATCGTGCCTATTTGAGTAGAAGTGAGAATTTTGGGAGACTATTTAGGAGTAATTTAGGGTGATATTGTTTAGATTTTCTGATATCATCTTTGTGTGCTGAAGGTCATCAGATCATCACTGTCAGTCTATTATCTTAGAGGATATGGTTAAAAGGAAATGGGTATTTAGAAAATTACTGCCTCTTTGGCCGAGTGGTCGTAAGTCCGACTGCCGGGCAAGGGGTCTCGGGTTCGATTCCCGTGTCGGGCAAAGTATTACTGGGTTTTTAAATATTCTCAGTAGTAGCACGGAGTCTGGAATTGTGCCCGGTATATGGCTATAGGCTCACCCCCTATTACATGGGACTCATAACATAAATAGTGAAAAGTGGGTGTTACATTGTACAGTAGTATAATGTGCACCTCTGCCTACCCCTTTGGGGATAAAAGGCGTGATGTTATGATGATGTTATGGGTATTTAGAAAAAACATAGTCATCATCATCATCATATCAGCCACAGGACATCCACTGTTGAATATAGGCCTCCCCTAATGACTTCCAGATAGTCAAACTTACTTATTTATACTTCTTTGTCAACGGTTTGTGTAATTAAATTGTTTATGATTATCGGGATAAAAATAACCTAATTAGTACCCGAGTAATAAGCTATCTCATGATTTAAGAGTTTTTCAAAGAAGTCTAGTAGGTACTTTTAAAACCTTTTTAATGCAAACAAAGAATCAAATATTTTTTCTGTATTATAAGAAGAAGTTTAATTAATAATGTCAAACAAAAAAAAATACAATAAATAAATTCCCTATACTAACCACTTCCATAACAAAACACAAAACTCAGCAAAAATCTCCCTTTGAGAAATAAAAAATGTACGTAAAATAAAAATGAAAAATAAAAAAAAACTTACTGGGCAACACTAAGACATTTTAATCGAGGGACGGGCGGGTAATTGAAGCTATAACTCTGGCAACCCCAGTTTGACATTTAGATTATTTTGCCGCGCAAACTGAGTTGTGCAGGACTTTGGAATAATTTGAGGGGTGTCAACGCGTGAATGAAACCAGGTTTATTTAAATTGTATTTAGTGTGAAATTAGATAAGACTGGTGTGAATTACGATGTGTTTACAATCTGAATAAATAACAAAATTACGACTATAATAAATTATTATTAGCAACAGCAAATGATATAACAGTTTTGAGATTGAGAACAATTTTGTTTTTTAAACCCCAAGCGGTCACCGGTGACTGCTCGCCACTAATTACATTATAAACCTTATTTCCGATGTTTGAAGACTGCTTTTGTATGGACAAATTTATAGTACGATATTATGTTTAAACATTCGCAAGTACCTTTACTTTCTGGCGGTCTGAGTCAAATGGTTATCATAACCAAACCCATACAAATAATGACTACCTACTCATGAAATGATGCAGTGATGAAACATTGCAGTGTATTTATTTTTGAAAAATGGTGTATATCAAATTAACACCGTGGATTATGGGGAATGTGTTCGGTTCGCATGCGAGAGCTCGATACACCGAGTTATATTATAACAGGAGGATAAACAAAAGCTTTCAATCGGATTTATTAAAAAAAAAGATACGAGCATCCATTTAATACAATTACTATAACAAAGAAGACAAATGTATTTTTTTAATCTAGTCATCTATTGTGATTTCTCATAATTCTCATTAGAATACAAATCCTAAGGTCGTTACGCAAAATGTAAACTTAAATTCGCAAAATAAGAGACTGGGATCCACATCTCGTCCGCAACAACAATGTTACTACCACACAAAAACCTCAAAACCTGAAAAACCGGAAACCCATCCACTTAATTCTGTAAATCAACATTATGTAAAGCAAATTACGGGAAGCAGGAGAAAATAAATCAAAAATATTCGCCACTGGTATCACTCGTATGAAAAGAGGGTAATAAAATTATTAAAGGGTAAAACATGGCTATACTGGCAACCCTTCCTAACGGAAACGGATATCATAACCTCGCTTTTTGCGGTCACAATTGTTAGCATTTTGCATTTTTCGCAAATTTTATATGTTTGTAGGTACCTGCGTGGGTATTTTGGATGTTTATGGTGTTCCTTCCTGGGCTTCCTGGGTTAGTTTAATGGACAGTTTTTTACATTTTAATTGATTACTCAATAAATGTACTGTAGGTACATAGGTATGAAAATACCAGCTTAACTGCCAAACATGTTTATCAGATTTTTAACAGCTCCTCATTAAGGTAAACTAAACTATTAACTACATTATTATATTTAACTATATTGTCTTGTAATTAAGAAGAAAATCCAATAAAGAATCTCTCATTAGCTCATTTTAATGGGGGAAAATCATCGAATGACTGCTTCCGCCTGGGTGAGGCGGGAGGGAGTGTCAGACTCGTACTGACTAACAATCACCCCGTTCCTTCTCGTTCACTTCGAGCCGGAGCCCCGGTACCCCGTAAGGTTCTCTGCGACTCCGAATCGGCATCGGCCCTGTTGGACCCCATCTGTGGTGGTCTGATAGCTCTTTAAGAACCTATGGTATATAAGAACATATAGGTTTAATAATAACTATCTAAACATACACCAATGGGTTGTTTGTGGTAGTAAATTGAAAACCATCTTACATCTTTTTTAACTTAAAACGAACATCAAACCTTAATAAACTCACCAAAATAGACAAACTACATCAAAATATCAAGTAATTCAAACTATGTACTCCATAATAAGAAAACAAATCACCTCGATGACGCGTCAAACCACTACAAACACGGCATCAATCACTAGAATCCCCCAAAACTGATGACTCTATTACACGAAGCTAATAACACCTTTTTGATAACTTTTACTAAACAATTTTTGCATATGTCAACTCCGAGGAGGCTGGCAATAATTCACGGGAGCACGTAATCCATCATGGCGGAATGAACTGTCACGCGCGGCAAAATGGCGGCTAGATAAAATGGAAGTCATTCCTGTAGGCATGGTTTAGGAAGGCTTTTGATTAGGAATGTAAAGATTTCGTTAAAATTTTTCTTTGAAAACCTCCATCTTAGATATTTTACCATCTAAGGATTATTTATGGTTTTTATTTATAATTGGTTAAAGTCATCATCGTTAGCTTCGATTGGTGGAAGCCCGCGGCATGTAATGCATTGTGGTTAAGCGTTATAAGATTAATTGTTATTTAATTATTAATTGATAATTTACTGGTTTTTGAATTTAATTGTTTAGTAACAACAACCAATTATATTCTTTGTATTTCAAAGAAAAGAAAATATTCACTTCTCTAATAGTTAATAGTTCGGAATAGTTGGTCGAAATGACACCAGAATTGTATTAGTATGTTTCTAAAAAAAATAAAGCACTTCACATTTTGTCTGCATAAGCAAAAATACTTTATAACAACTCCTTTTGCTAGAGCCCTGCCTACTCCAAAATCTATAATATCATCATCTGTAATTAGACCAAATGACATGAATAATCCATTACAAGAGATCCCCTCGAGAAAAGTCTTAAAAAGTCCCGGGTTCATTTTCCCGCGGCATGCCACAAGCCGCAATGAATTATGCGGCACGCGACTCGACATCCTTTTGCAATATAGTCAGCAGTCGCCGCGATTTGTCGCGCTTCCGAAGCGCATTGTCCCTAAAAAGTCGTCGTTCGCAAATTGTTAAGTTATCCAATGTGTTATTAAAATTGGTGATAGATATAATTCATGGCTCTATGAATTTATATAGCGTTTCTGTATTTTGTAAGATTTTAGGTAACTTTGTGCATCGTCAGTTTTATGCATAATTTTACAATAACATAACATAACATCACGCCTTTTATCCTCGAAGGGGTAGGCAGAGGTGCACATTATACCACTGTACAATGTAACACCCATTTTTCACTATTTATGTTATGAGTCCCATGTAATAGGGGGTGAGCCTATTGCCATATACCAGGCACAGTTCCAGACTCCGTGCTACTACTCAGATTTTTTATAAAACCCAGTATTACTTTGCCGGACCCGAAAATCGAACCCGAAACCCCTTGCCCGGCAGTCGCAATAGACCACTCGGCCAACGAGGCAGTAATTTTACAATATGCTTCACAGATCGCGTAATTATTGCTATGTAACTTGAAAATCGATTAATATTTAGGTTCTAACCTAGACTCCCACCTTCAAGGTGGAAACCTTCGTGATACCTACATACTAAAATAATTATTACCTACGTTTTCGGCTTACTTACGTAACTGTTTGACGAGAAACTCGACTAGTTTCAAGCCATTCTACAGGGTCATATCAAACAAACGTGAGTAAGCCGAAAACGTAATAATTAATTAAGACTGCCATTGTAATTTAATAATCTAAAAGACTATAAAAATAATGAACTTTATCTTACATTAAACCCAGTTTTATTGAACAACTTCGAAGCGCAAAGAAATATATCGAGCAAAATATTTCCCTAAGGATAAGAAATATGATAAGTGTGTCTGTTTGTCACCAGGATTGTCCGTAACAAGGCGGCGGAGAAGGCGAAGCAGGCTCACAACCAGCAGCAGCAGCAACAGGAACAGGAGATCAGCTCAGCGCAGGGGAGCGTAGTATCTGTAAGTACTATTTATTGTTTGTTTATTATACCTGACAGTATGTTAATATAAAAACTTTCCTGACACATACTAAATTAATGATTATATTTTCGGCTTACTCACGTAACTCTGTGACGAGTACCTCGACTAGTTTCAATCCATACTACGTATTCGATTTATACACCCCAGTCACATTTTAAAAGAAGATTCCGAAGCTTTTTAGTGGCTAAAGCATATTATAGTTTGACTGAGTATCTAAATGAGAATGATTTTTTTTTGTAAGTACTTGAATTGAAAACTGTGTTCCTAATTTATGGTCTTCTTTTTTTGTTTATGTTTTTTCTTTTTATTGGGTTTTTTGTCTTCAATTGTAACATATTATCCAATGCATTTTACTATGTATATCATTTGCATGCTTAAATGGTAAAATATGGCTGAACCTGTATTTTTATGTCACCTGTAATTGTTACCCATATTTGCAAAATAAAAGTATCTTTATCTTTAAACAATCCTATAACCACCTCTTATAACTCTTCCTACTCCTCCCCAGGTGATAACCCACGCAGGCAACGCGCCCGGCACGACAGCAGTCCTGTCTCCAACCACAGACCAGCACGTCACCAACACCGGGAGCTACAGCATCAACGGGATCCTGGGGATTGAACAGGTCGAGGGTCTCCACAATGGGAACGCGACTGGTTTGAAGAGGAAACGGCATGAAGACCAAGGTATACTGGAAAAATCATTTATGATGCTGTGGTATTTAGCAAAAAATAATTCCTTTTCATATCTTCCCTTGGATATGATAAAGATAGAAGATGTTCATTTCTCGTATTGTTCATTTGATTACAGGCGTTCTTTTGAAAATCTGTGAATGCAGTTCGATTTCTTTTAGAAAATAAAATGAAGTTTTCTTATAGTGTAATTATATTTTGAGTATTTAAGGCCTATTTGCAACATGCCGCGGGTTCGATTCCCGCACGGAACGTCTCTTTGTGTGATCCTCAGATTATTGGTCTGAGTCTGGGTGTCATGTGAATGTATGTGAACTTGTATGTTTGTAAACGCACCCACGATACAGGAGAAAAACCTAGTATGAAACAATGCATAAAAAAATTAAAACTTCAATTTAAAAAAATAAATCACAGCAAACGATCTTAATCCTTTTGCTGCTAATAAAACTTTAGTCCTTATAAATTACTGCGTCTTTGCAAAAGTGATCTTAAGTCGAGTTAGTCAAGAGTCGAAATTTAATAGAAGTTATAATAATAAGGTCACAATTTGTGCAGTAAAGTTAATAGCACAGTAAATCTTAGCGGTCGCGGTTCATGCCCACCACTACGGCTGAAAGGATTCTAGTGATGTGCATCAGTGAAAAGAAAGTATCGATATTTTTATCGATGGGATACGTGCTGTTAAAAAAAAACATATATAAATATAATTTAATGTGTCTTTGTTGCGAAACTACTCGTCCTCATACACACATGTTAAAAATGAAAATTAACATTAATGATTTGTCGTCGGTGGTATTTCCGAACGAATACGACGTTCAAAACTACAAGAAAAGGACTTATTCCTTTTTAAATGAACGTACCTGTGACTCCTCTGGTGTTGCGAGTGTCCATAAGCGGCGCTAATCGCTTACCATCAGACGATCTGTCCGCTCGTTTGCCTCCTATTCCATAAACAAATTTTTACCTAAAAAACTAATTCATAAAAATGTTTAAATTCTAATCCATTATAGTTCCATGTTACCAACTGATTGATTTTCATTTTATTGAAATAAAAAATGGATGCTAACAAAAATAACAATTCAACTGTCTGTACTATCATACTATGTTTACAATGGAAATCCCATGGTTTATTAAAATATCCTTATTTTATCGACATTTCCACCTCCCTATTAACTTTAGGGGGCATAAAACGAGCGTCGCCGGGGGAGGCCGCGAGTATTTCACTGCCCATACTCTACTAACATCAGTTACAACTTTTCTCTATGTACTCTACATAGAGTCGAATTGTAGAGTCGCAGTTTTGATAAAGGAGCCCTTGTAGAGATTAATTTAAGACGACTTTTTGAAAAATTTATTAACTTTTTTAGTAGCTCGCTCCTATTTATTGTGTTTGACGCTTAATTGAACGTTTTAATGCAGATTGTTCTGATATCATAAAATTGCACTATTTTTTAACAATTGGCGTTCCATAGTCTCTACCTACCCCTATGGTAGACAGGCCCGAAATTATGTATGTATGTATTTTTGAAAGAAAATCTGTGTTTCTATGGTTTACATACATATAATCCGAAAAAGCCCCATTTACACCTTAGCCGGAGATCAAATCCTGGACCGTTCGCCCGACAGTCACATCTGTGACCTGTTGTGGTTCTTTCCTCAAAAGGCCACTACAGAAAGAACTTGCACGGATCTCGCACATAATCTGTTGTACATATTTGTTTGAACTTCAAAAGAGACAGACCTCTGAGTTTGTTTCGGCATTTCTTCTCAGAGTAGTCAGTTAGGAAATGTCGACCTCATCGTTGGCTTAATAAAATTGGCGTGTAAAAGTGCTGCCTTGTAGCCTATTTGCAGAAATAAATTCACTTGTTTCACTTGAACACATTATTATCTTTCAATCAAGTTAAATTCAAATTTTAATGTGTGTAAGGTGTGGATTATTGTTGTTATTTTCTTTTCTATAATTCTCAAATTGGATTTTATTTTTAAGCCACTGTTAAGCCTATGAATTGCCAGTGCTATGTACGCCATTATTGTCGCATGCATCAGACCTTTATTTTGTTACTATTGTGTATTTTGAATGTTATATGTTTGTGATGTGGCCGTACTCTTTCGAATAAATAAATGAATCAAGTGTTTATCTTTAAATTCTGTAAAAACACGTTAAAATTTAAAAAACATTTTGTTTCAGACGAAAACCGGGACTTTAACAGCCATTCGGAGGACGACGTGAAAAGACAGAGAAGTCACTACAACGGTGACCAAATATACTCCAATGTAAGTCTTATGCTCTATAAGTATTAACTTAAAGTCTAATTTCGCATAACAGCTCTACAATAAATACATAAAGAATATACTAGAAACTTAAAATTGTAACTGTAAACCCTATTACATGGGACTCATAACATAAATAGTGAAAAGTGGGTGGTACATTGTCATAATGTGCACCTCTGCCTACCCCTTCGAGGATAAAAGGCGTGATGTTATGTTATGTTATGTAGAAACTTAAAATGATTATTGTACGCCGCATTAACTTATTGATTTTATGATTTACGAACATAATCATTAACCAACTGTGCTAGTCCAATGCTGAACTATTAGGCGTCGTCCTATTTAGCTTACCATCGTACGATTGAACGATGCGACCTCGTCACACGATGAGGATAAACCCAATTTTTTTTAAAATGTCCTAATTGAAGCTTGCAAATCAACGTGCGAGCACAGGGTTTAACCGTTCAATCGAGCGATGGATAGCCCCATTGGACGACGCCTTAGAGTAACTTAACCTAACCTAAACTAACGGGTTACCGGGGCTCCGGCTCGACGTGCAGGAGAATGAACGGGGTGGTTTTTAGTCAGTAAGAGTCTGACACTCCCTCTCGCCTCACCCAGGTGGGAGCAGTAATTCGATAATTTTCGTCCCTTAAAAAAAATCTCTACAGAACAGGGTTTGCAAATCTGATTAACTGCAGCATCATTTTAACGCGTTGTTCAGAACCTTCCCTACCATTCATCTTACAAAAATCTTTTCTAAGCTGACCCAAACCACACATATTCCATTCCACACCACACCCATGAAATACCGATACGCAATCAAAAAATCACGCACAATTTAATTGTACTTTTATACGCACGTAATGGCGGGCGGAAGTGACGTCATTAGCTCCCGACCGCCGCCATTCGTCACGAAGCGCAATGGCCGCCGAAATTTACGCGCCAATTCGCACCGAACGTACGGGTCGTCCTGCGTTTAATGTGATGTTACCGGAATGTTAATTTGAGATAATCTATGTCTATCTGTGATCATCTTTGGGAGGTGAACTAAGTGGGAGGTTATTATCGCCTAGATGGGGATTTGGTATTCTTTCTTTTTATATTCTACTCGTTAGTTTGATGTCACTTAATAATTTACTAGTTATAATCGGTTTCTAACATAAAATAATTCTAACATAAATAATTGGAATGTCTGTTTGTAATATGTAATACGAAAATAGGTATCACTATAAACAAATTTTGTCTATCTGTCTGTTTGTTTCTATTCGCTAATCTTTGAAATAGTTGGACCGATTTTGACGGGACTTTATTGGCTGATGGCTAATGTATTAAGGAGTAACATAGGTAGACGCGAAGTTACCGGTTCAGCTAGTTTATTATAATAATGATACTAGATATAATGTTTCATGCAATGACGATCAAACACAAAGATAAAGATAAAAGTTCAATTCAAATGGTTTAATTCACTTTAATATTTTCTCTACCTCGTTGGCCGAGTAGTCGCAAGTGCGACTGTCGGGCAAGGGGTCTCGGGTTCGATTCCCGGGTCGGGCAAAGTATTACTGGGTTTTTTAATATTCTCAGTAGTAGCACGGAGTTTGGAATTGTGCCCGGTATATGGCAATAGGCTCACCTCCTATTACATGGGACTCATAACATAAATAGTGAAAAGTGGGTGTTCCATTTGTACAGTGGCATAATGTGCACCTCTGTCTACCCCTTCGGGGGTAAAAGGCGTGATGTTATATGTATATTTATGAATAAAAATGGTTAATTAAATACAGTTAAAAATATAGTGTACATTTTTATTTTTATGCGTAAAAAAGGGACCATTAACATTATGTATCTACTGGCTATATGATAAAGGAATTTGATATTTATCACTTAAGATGTTAAGTTAGTTTTTATAACGTCTAGACTCTAGACCGCAGTATTTTTTGCTGAAACCTTGTAGCTTCATTGTTAGGACAGGAAGTGAAGATTTGACTCTGTTGTATGGGTATAGAACTATACTGTGGTTCTGTCCGTATGATTGATATAGTGGTTCAACGTCGTCGCCCCATTAAATATAAAAAAAAAATCTAGAAAAGAATGCGCCCTAGGCTTTTCAAAGTAATGTTTTATCATACTTTTTAATGAAATCTCAAATGGGACTGCTACACCATAGATCAGCTAAATACCCAACTAATAATATTTAATGACTTATTCAAAGATACTAAATTCATAGGTACTACCCAACATAGGTTCAATATTCCAATTACAACATGCAATTCTAAATTAACTAAAAATCGCGGGTTACTCACTTGAATATACTGAGGAAAGCTCTACTAGTTTCGAACTACAGGGGCCTGCGCGACATCGACGCGACCGCGCACGCTGCTTATGAGGAAGAACTCCTCTGTGGTTCGAAACTAGTAAAGCTTTTCTCAGTATATTCACGTGAGTAACCGGCGATTTTAGTTAATTTAGTATGTCTCATGATAGGTAGTTATTATAAAAACATACAATTCTAAAGTTTAATAGGCTCACCCCGTATTACATGGGACTTATAACACAAATAGGTAGTGAAAAGTGGGTGTTACATTGTACAGTGGCATTAAGTGCGTAATGTGCACCTCTGCCTACCCCTAGTACGGGGGTAACAAGCTATTTATTTATCTATTATGAAACGTGAATTCAAACCTTAAAGCGAACTGGAGACATGGTAATCGAACTCTAATGTAATTGGTTAAAAGTGTGTGTTAAAATCTGCACCATTGTTTTCAAAAATACGTGCTAATGTTATGGACCTTCAAAAACCCATCCACAAACACAACTAACTCTCATCTTTCCTTTCAGCTCTGGTCATCCTCAAAATGGAGTCTCAAAGACGAGTACAAGTTACTATCGGAGCTTGGCGGAGCTGCAGGTGGCGCCACTGGTTACTACGGAGAGTTATTCGACACTCCTTACGAACACGCCGCCCATCCTCACTACACTCCCCATTCAGGTAAGTACAGTGTTATGTTCTGAGGGATAAAAGCTATTTTTGCTTGACAAATGTTAAGATTAAGTAGAATTAGTTTTTAAGATGTTCAGTATTCAATAGAACATGTTTTTTGAAAGCAAGATACTTAAATAAACAACAAATGACTCCTTTATTCATCATCATCATCACCATGTCAGCCACAGGACGTCAACTCCTGAACATAGGCCCCCCCAATGACTTCCAGATAGGCCCGTTGGAAGCCACCTACATCCAACGGCTCCCTGCGACCTTAATCAGACTCCTTTGTTACTACATATATAAGTATCGACTTAATGAAGACACTGCAAGTTTGAAGAATGGTTAATAAATATCTTGTAGAATTGGGCCTCCGGTAACCTCACTCACATGGCAAAGACCCAACGTCAGTTTTCTGTGAGGCCGTGATATCACTCCGGTCGAACTGTGCCGAACAGTGCCGAAGCATGACTCTACCACATTAAATATTATGATGATGTAGGTATAAGGAAAACGTGTTCGCCCTTAAAAAAATAAAATTTCTTCTTATTTTTTATGGGATAACCTGGTAAACGAGCAGACCGATCACCTGATTGTAAGCAATCGGCGTCGCCCATGGACACCGAGAACTCCCTATGGTGTTCCACACTTGTAACGCCTATGCGTTACAAGTGTGTTACCCCGGCCTTTTGGATATTTGGAATTTGAAGATTCTTGGTATTCAGGGATTGGGGAGATAGGGGCAAGGATACAAGGGTAATTGGGCCTCCGGAAACCTCACTCACACGACATCTTATCGAAATCTGTCTAGTATTTTGCGATACAAAAACATTCCCATGTGACAGGTATAAAAATAATCAATACCACGATTATTGTGATTCTACCACATAATGGGTTGTGGTTACAGACGATGGGAACCACTCGGTCCGTTCATTCATTCATTCATCTCGTTCATTCATGGTGTTGCTAGACATATTGCTTTTATTTTCTCATTCTTACTTTTGTAGTGAAATGGATACTAGTTCAATCATATTTATTCTATTTGGTTATTTTAAATTTGCTTTGATTTTAAGATTTTATTGTTATTTTGTAGTGGTTAAAAGTTACTGTTGAGCAAATGGTCTTAGAATTGGATAAAGTATTATTACGCTATTTACGGCTTTACGAAAATGTCTCCTTGTATGTCCAAAGTCTAGAGTTGTGACTGTTGTCGGGTATTAAGCTAATCAATTATTAGGTAAAACCCGTAACATGATAATAGGTAATATGGTAAAAGAGAGCCTTCCGTGATTAAAATATACGTAGCTAGAGGTACCTACTCAGTAAAATTTAGCACCTATTCTTTAGACATAAAACTTATTTTTAATTTTTTAATTTAAAAAAAAACATTAGCACCTATTCTTTAGACATAAAACTCATTTTTAATTTTTTAATTTAAAAAAAAAACGTTTCCTCACACTAGGATTATCTCCTGTGTCGTGGGTGCGTTTACAAACATACAAGTTCACATACACATGACACCCAGACCCGAAACAACAATTTGTAGATCACACAAAGTGTTGTTTGTTGTTGTTGTTTGTCATTTCAGCATAACAATTTATAGTATGTACCTACCTACTTACGTTTTATACTTGCTTACTGCATCTAATGAATCTAAATAAAAAGTCAAATCAACAAAGAGTAACACTTTCTTTCTCCCACAAAAATAGAGCTAACCACATCCTCGTGTGTGAATGGATCACGTAGATCCCTCTCAGTAACATAAGATGCGTTTGCGCATATCATGACGTATGTAATTTGATGCGCAAGAGTTCTATTGTAGACGCAGGCGCACAGCCGATTTCCTTGGTTAAAAGCTTTGCGGTTTATATTGTTTTATGTTTTTTTGTTATATTTCTGTTGTGAATGAAAAGGTTTAGTGTTTGTTACGTCATGAGGTTATTTGTATTGTGCTGGGGAGACAGACAGAGGTGTAAAGTTTTCATTTTGTTTAAATGTTACCTCACACTGGGATTTTTTCCTGTGTCGTGGGTGCGTTTACAAACATACATATCACACCCGGAACAACAATCTGTGGATCACAAAGAGTTGTTCCGTGCAGGAATCGAACCCGCGACACGCAGCAGCCAGTTGCCCAACCACTGCACCAAACATGCAGTCAATTTACTTTGACAAAGTAAAGGTACAGGGAAAGATAGATCCTAACGTTTATGGACAAGATAAGGGCGAAAAAGGGTTAAGTAATATTAACGCTGACAAAGTATAGGGCAAAAGTTTCACCATAAAAAAACATAATGTCTCACTTTATATCCCCAATCCGATCACTTTTCATCAGTATCTTTTTAATCCCCAATCTAATCACTTTAGATTTCCTGTTATAATTATTAAAGTATGTATTAAAGTATAACGTATTGTCATGCACCGGGTACAATTAAGTGTGGGAGAGCCATGCTTCGGCACGAATGGGCCGGCTCGACCGGAGTGATACCACGGCCTCACAGAAAACCGACGTGAAGCAACGCTTGTTCGCTTGAAGTGAGATTACCGGGGGCCTAATTACCCCCCTGCCCTTCCCCAATCTCCCCAATCCCCGAATCCCCAACAATCCTCAAACTCCTAATCCCCAAAAGGCCGGTAACGCACTTGTAACGCCTGTAATATTCCAGGTGTCCATGGGCGATGCCGATTGCTTACCATCAGGTGATCCGTCTGCTCGTTTACCGGATAGTTTACCATTAAAAAAAATCGAACCACCATCACCCACACCTGCATACTTTAAAAGACCCTGGAAAAGAACCGAAGACCCTTAGCTCAACAACCATACTAAAAATCACTAAACCAACAAGGTAGTAAACAATAAGGTTCACAAAAGTAACGGATAGGTAAAGAGCTACAGCTACTCAATTTGGTTGGACTCCGTAATTTCTAGCAAACGCCATCATTACGCCATATTCTGTCACGCCCTGAAAATTGCCTGCTGCGGTGTCAAACCTGCATGCCGTGACAGTTAGCTTGACATGGATTTTTGTGGGTTATCGTGGCAATAGGGTTTTGGGGTATGGTTGAATGGTGTCTGTACTGGAATTTCGTGCCTGGAGTAGGCTTGTTTTCTGGTAGGAAATGGTGACGTAAAATGTGTCTTCGAGAAGGGATTGGGAGGTCTTTTGAGTTTGATGGAGTAAGATTTTTTATGGGACTTATTGTAGTACTAAAAAAGTGGCTGGCTAAAATTATATTCCTAATTTCCAAAAGGCTGGCAATGCACTTGTAATGCCTTTAGCGTTTCGGGTATCCATAGGCGACGCCAATTGCTTACCATCTGGTGATACGTCTGCTCGGTTACCGGCTTATGCCATAAAAAAAACACCCACTTTTCACTATTTATGTTTTGAGTCTCATATAATAGGGGGTGAGCCTATTGCCATATACCAGGGACAATTCCGAACCCTGTGCTACTACTGAGATTTTTTTTTAAAAACCCAGTAATACTTTTTCCCCACCCGGGAATCCAACCCCTTGCCCGAGTCACACAATTGCGACCACTCGGCCAACGAGTCAGTCACTTCAATACCAATAAATCTCTGAAAAATCTTTTAAATCCTGAAATCGGAGCAGCCATAAATTAACAGTGGTCACAAAATGTTACACTGCCAACGTACATCACTGAGCATCAGTTTTTTCACGGTTTCAGTCGAAAACTATCCGTTTTCAGCGGCACTTTATTTCATGGGCGATTTTAAAATATGATCCGCTTTTCAAATACTTGAAGTTTTATTTGTTTCTGTGGTTTTTATATTGGATCTGTCTTTTGGAAAATCTTTTTGATCAAATTCATTTCTGTCATAGTGGTAAAATTGTATGATATTTCTGTATCGTTCAGTGTGTAACAAAGACTGAGTAGCAGCGCCCTCTAATATCCTGAATGATAACCAACCCGTTTGTCAAGTGTAAAGTTTAAAACAAACACTTCTTATGTAAAGAAGGTCAACAGTCCAAGTTGGTTGTTGGCTGGGCAACCCGCTGCCGTGCACCGTGTCGCTGGTTCGATTCTCGCACGAAACAACAATTTTTTGTAACCACAAATTGTAGTTTCGGGTCTAGGTGTCATGTGAATGTGAATTTGTATGTTTGTAAACGCATTCACGACACAGGAGTAAATCGTAATATAGGACAACGTTTAAAAAAATAATAGACTGGTCTAAAGGATTTTCAAAATGTTTGTTTTAATCCTTTAAATGAAATATGGCATCTAATTTCCAACAAACGTCTTTATTTCTATTGTCTTAAATTTTGTTATTGCATGCTTAATTCATGTAACGGTGATAAAATCACTGTTGACCACAATTGTCACGGTCTAATTCCGAAATTAATCTATGATGTTGTAACAATTACACATATCGCACTTAGACTTAATCATCTTGGTCTTACAACTGATTTGCTAGTCTTCAAATTACTGTTTCAAGTTTGATGTTAATAAGAATAAAAAAACAGTTAAAGCAATCAAATTGTTTTTTAATGTGTAACGACTGCCTCGTTGGCCGAGTGGTTGCAAGTGCGACTGCCGCCGGGCAAGGGGTCTCGGGTACGATTCCCGGGTCGGGCAAAGTATTACTGGGTTTTAAAAAAATTCTCAGTAGTAGCACGGAGTCTGGAATTGTGCCCGGTATATGGCAATAGGCTCACCCCCTATTACATGAGACTCATAACATAAATAGTGAAAAGTGGGTGTTACATTGTACAGTACCTCTGCCTACCCCTTCGAGGATAAAAGGCGTGATGTTATGTTATGTTATGCAATCAAATTGTCTCAAAAACTCAACGTATAATTTGATTTCGTATAAATAAAAGAACTGCCTTATGGCTCGAGTGGTACTAACGAGCAAGAAAGGTTAGATTCATGAATCAAGCAGCTAACATTGCTCAATTTCATAGAGTAGTATGCTTAAAATATAATTATTATCAAAGTACTATGATTCTTATGAGGGTGCTTTCACATGTGCAGATAGCGAGCCGTTTGCAAGCTACGCGCTTGCAGTCAGTATATGTGGACTCACCCTTACGATAGTTAGGAGACTGATATGGTTACTTTTATTTGGCTAATTGGTTTATAAGAACATCAAAATCATTATGAATACTAAACCTACTCTAAGACACCGTCCACTATAGGACACTGTAACAAATTAATAACATGTAGTTTCCTCTTTGGCAGCTCACAATCGACTGCCCACGTTAAGTCAAACATCCCTGCAACCACTCTGTAAGCTGGCTCTTATACTAAACGCTTTTGCTCTTGGTCTATAAACATTCAGGTATACATACAGAAAAAAAGATTCGTCAAGGAAGCAAACAGGTTTTTACATAAAAAGAAAACTTCAATAAGTTTAAATTAAGTAACTATTACAATTAATAGACGAAAGTTTCAAAACCTTAACTAAAACCAAAGAAATACTAGAAGCACTTTTGAAACTAAAATAAATTATTATCCTTTTTCAATTATCAATATTTTACAATTATCCAAAAATATCTACAAAGAAGACAAGAAAAGCTCTGCTAGTTTCGAATCACGGAGGGACTGTTCCTCCTGAGCAGCGTGTAGGCTGCGCGACATCGCCGCAACCGCGCATTCTGCTCATGAGGAAGAGTCCCTTTGGGACTGGAAACTAGAAGATCTTTTCTCAGTATATTCACGTGAGTAAGTCGTCACTTTCAGTTAATTCAATATGCCTCACGATAGTTGTTTTACAATTTCCTAAAAGATAATTTAATTTATTTCACTAATAGTTTAAATACCTGAATGCAACAAAACGACCAAGAGTAACAGCGTCATTACCACAACTACGATGAATGGCATAGCATCTTCAAATGTTGATCTTGTTACAGCAACGAATGACTCCACGGGTTCCAATGGTGGAGCTGGTGGTGAACCTCCGTCAGCGGCTGCGAGTCCTGATGCTGCAGCACTGGTCGTCCTACAGCCACCTGCACCACCATACCCTCCGTACGCACATTATGATGGTAAGTCTACGGCATTTAAGCTTTGTTACTATTTGGTTAAACCTTGCTCCATTCTGGAATGTTCATCTGTGCGAAGTGTTCTTTTAGAAACGCATAAATTTTCATGCATATCACATAAATATTGAACATTGAAAATTGTTTTGTATTCTGGACGTGTTTGTGTAACAGTGTGTCACTCTTGGATCGCATAATAATAAAATACACGTATGTAGTGATCTGTGGCATCCTTTGCCTATATCAGCAAGTGAATTATAATATAAGTAGGTAGGAGTAAGAGTGTCGCATCTATACGTGTTATTATGACTTAAAACAGACGGCCATGTCGTAGAACGTCCTTAGAACATAACATTAGCATAAAGTAAATTACATACTTACTTTGATAGACGTCATATTCATAAAATTCTTACATATTATATCCATAAAGTGGTATATAAAACACGCAGCTCCTACATGACTATGTTTCTGTAATAAGATATAAAATATACGCATAAGAAAGTATCTGAAAGAAACAGTATTCTCAGAAAATAAAACAAAAATCCAAATAATTTACACAAAAATATGTTAGCATCCTCTTATCGCTTAGACAAAAGCATAAAAACGCGACAATTTAACTTGAATCTCCCCCTCAATAAAGATCCACGCACAGAAATAAAACAATGAAAGCAAAAATAAAAGTGGCCGAACAGATAAACAGCGAGAATCACTGTCGAGAAAACAAAAGCGAGAAAAAAATACTCAGGAAAGCTTTCGACAAAGTCGAGTGAGCCACTCCGAGCCATTCCGTCGGAAATCTAATTTTCTCCTTGGACCCCGCAATGCTCTCTGTGTTATAACATCATAAAATTTCATACAGCGCCCACAGTTTTAGCACTTATGCATATTAAAGAGAGATTCTAAAATGGAGTGCCACAGGGAGCGGTGTGGGGGCCGCTCTTTACGCTTCTGGTCTTTAATCTGCCGCAATCTGCTTATCTTGGCGGAGGGTGGTAAGGGGGGTAAGCAGACATCTTTAATAGCTCATTCGGGGTTCTATGCAAATAATTTTAGAGGGGGGCGCGGTGGGGGATCATACGGGCTTTGTCTGGGCTAACGAACCGGCACAAGAGCCCGCGGAACAGAAGTGCTGCTAGCTCAAACGGGTTTAGGCTCACGTTTATAAATATTAAACCGGGGTGGGAGGGGGTTGCAAGTGGTTACGCGTAAGTGTTCAGGGGGCGTGTTAGTGTTAAATTTGTTTGAGGCGTGCCGCTTTGGGCACAACCTATTAATGTTGAGTGGTGATTCTGAGTGATCAAATTGGATGATGGTTATAAATAACGCGTCGGATTATTTATTAAGTGATGGTACTGATTTTGTGAATAATTAATAAATATTTAATGTATGCTTAACATGTTTTTGAACCACGCACTGGTTCGTTAGTCCTGGTTGATGAATGTCTGAATATAGTCACTGGGGGCATGACTTTGATTTACGCTTAATATTAGGTGTGTAAAGTGTTTAAACCACAGCCATCTTCTAACGAATTAACATAAATATGAAAATATGACATCCAATAAGTCTCATCACCATGCCATATGATTATTATTTTAACTAAATGATGTTCTAAACTTCAATAGCTTACACAGTCCACTATACAACTTTGAAAACTCCCCTCGACTTAAAACGATCACCTCATCAGACAAGACAATGGACTTGATCATTAATCATTAGATGACGTACCTCGTTAATTCCATGAAGGAAGGAAGCCACTAGAAGGACACTTGAAAGTAAAAACGCTTATTTTTAATGGTTTTCTTTTATATATGTTTTTTGTAGAAAAGGAAATTGTTGAGTATTATTTTGTATGACTAGTACTATACTGTGTGCTGTCTTCTGAAGAGATAGACAGACGTGTTTGACTTGACTTAAAATTTTGATAGACATTTTATTACTGTAGTGAACTAATTGTATAGTTATACATATACAACAATTTGGTATTGATGAGAAAATAAAGATTGATCCGCAAAGTCCTCCTCTGGTTCTAAGAGTGTGTATTCCACTCATAACTTAAGGAAAAAATACTAGACAATGTTAATTAAATACTCCTTGCATCAAGTAAAACCATTTCAAAGAACAATTAATTAATTTATATCTCTTGATTTCCAGGTACGACAACGTTAGCCAGTGAATACGCGTACGCGGCCCCCTACTCACAGTACTCCCCGTACGGAGGACCCTACTCGCATTCTGCTGCCACCGGCCTGCTGTCCAAGTGGTAAGTTATATTTGTAACAAAAAACTATTTTTATAGAAATTAGGTGCCTTGTTAGAAAATGGTACAATATAGGAACAACATTTTTTAAAGAAGTGAGTAATATTATCTAGAAATTTAGACGATATGATATGGTTTGTGGTCTGAATTGTATATCATCAAAATATTTATATAGCTAATTGAAGGTTACACAAAGTATAATTAAGAATATTTTAAATAAGTATATGAAAATAATTAAACGGATTATAATTTTATTATTTCAACAAAAAAATAAATAAAAATAGTAAATAACCAGAACCAATCAATAATAATAGTATTTATAAAAAATCCATTTCACATTTTCTCTTACTCTTGAAAATCAAATCAAAGCACCAATTCTAATTAATTAATAAAACACAGGTGCTAAAACGCTTCCCTGAGGTACGCCCTCTAAAAACTGACCGTACGAGCCTCTCTAAGTGATAAACGGATCAGATTTATTTCCAACACAAAGCCATTTGTTACTCAGAGCCTGCTAAACGACCAGGCGATTTAAATGCTGTAAAATCCTCTGTGCAGTTAATGTGTGCGGTGTGTCGAAAGCCTCTGTTAAATCCAGGAAGCTTAATATATTTCGTTAAATGTATTTCCTTATTTTTAGCATTGATAGTTATAAATTTGCTGAATTTTTCTTTATCAAAATTAAAATGTTTGGACGACTTAAATGAAATTGGCATAGCGTGACAACTTTACAAATACGAAGATGTAATTCCAAATACATCTATCTATTATAATATATCATAAAAGCTATTGAAAAGTACCTCAATCCTTAGAATCAACTATAAAACCCAGTCTTCAATAAAAACTCATTCCCATCAAATCCCTTGGAAAATTCACTGACAATTCGACAATAACAGTATAAAGAATGTCTCGTAGAATATATTGTTTTGATTCCACCATCAAATTAGATACAAATCCCAATCCCATAGGTGCTACATCAAAGCTACTCGTCTGTACAAACTTATTTCTGCATCAATAAACCACAATACCACTCGAAAATGATCCTTGTATTCATGACTATAAAGCTTGCCATTAATTTTGTTGACTGAATATAACATTTTGCTATTGTCTTTCATATAGGGTCGGATGTTGTCGCATGTTGTCGACTATGTATGCTTTGTTTGAATATGTTGATGGTAGATGAACAGGAACCTAAATGTGAAATATGTATGTAAATGTGTATTTTGATCAATTCAATTTTTGACATTTCAATAGTGCCTAATTAAAGATTAATTGAAATAAATGCTTTGACTTTGAAAAAAGGTGTTATTTTGAAATTATAGTATTTCATCTCTTTGTTACAATATACCTTCTTGAGGTACCTAGTTGCTTTAATAATTATAACTGTACTACGGGGATTGTAAGACCAAAAATGTATTATAGAACTTGCGTACCAAGATATTACAGAACAACGTTTAAAAAAAAAACGTAATCCTACACTTCGATATTCTTCTGTGTCGTGAGTGTGTCTACAAACATACAATACATATAGGTACACATCACACTTAGACATGAAACAACAATTTGCGAATCACACAAAGACTTGCTCCGTGCGGGAATCGAACTAACCAACGTGTAGCAACACGTTGCGCGGCAACTGTTTGCCCAGCCACCATGCCAACCGTGCTTTTTTATAAATTGGATAATTTTTACACAAATTTCTTCTGTTTCAATTTTTCAACTCTTATATTTTTATTACTTCCACTGTCACATCTTGATTGTCTTTTTTTATTTTTTATTTATGCTGCATCGTGCCTGGTGCTAAATAAATGTTTTTTCTTTCTTTCTTTCTTTCAATTATAATATTATTTTAGTACAGACTTCTATCTTTAATGTAAAAACTACAAATCTGTTTTTTTTTTGATGTCATAATAATACAATCAAATTTATTAATAATAACAACAACACGACACAAAAATCACGCCAGAAACTAAAAACAATTTCTTACCCATCATAAAGAAATGTCAACAAATTTAAAAAAAAAGTATCATTACAACATTACAACTAAATTAATCGACAAAAAATAAATCAGAACACAATAGCTACACTAGTACATTTGTTTCCATCCCTATTTGTCCCTGAGGGCCTTGACAAAGGGCATGGTAGGGTCCCTAAGGGCTCGGATAACTTACAGCGCATTAAATTTAAGTGATTCATTCTACTAGGAGTACTTTTAAACTTTTGATAGGGGTCTCTTTCTGTAGTACGTGTGGAATAATGCATCGATTCGATTGCACTGACTAATTTGATTTTGAAATATTGGTTTCTTTCATATACCTCTAGTCATTTATTCCAATAAAAACTTAAATAAAATTAATACTAACTATTACTTAATTAAATATTTCGTATTTTATACAGCTTAAGATAAAAAGTAATTAAAATATAACTAAAAACAACTAACTTTACATAAAGCAACGAAAAATTCGTATCGATTATTTCGCATCGACGTCAGTGGGGAAAGTACTCAAATATTGGTTGATTATTGTTTAAGAAGTTTCTATGTAAGTCAAAGTCAATATCATTTATTTTAATTAGACCAGAAAGGCACTTTTGAACGACAACTAAAATTAAAAGTGAAGGCTATTTGCTCATTGCAAGATGTAGATTCTTATGGAGAATAACAAGCAAGAAACTTCATAGGTTACTCTTTTTTAATCAGGTTTACAATACAATTCCCTAGTTACATAGTAAAAAAACCACTTCATAATAGTCAGGTCTCAATTTTAACATTTATATTTTCTAAATGATAAAGTTTAGTTGTTTGTAAGTATTTAATATAAGTTCCAGAATTATTTAAAAAAATACTCTTCTATATTTCGTGTTTTGTACAGGGGAAGAAATGTATCGACCTTTTAAAAATTCAAATTCAAAATTTTAGGTAGATTCAAAGACATCTTTAAACCCACCTGTAATTTTGAATTTTCTCAAGAAGTTATTTCATAATGACAAAAAGCTTGAAAATCTTAAACATAACATCATAACATTACGCCTTTTATCACCGAAGGGCTAGGCAGAGGTACACACAGAAGTAACAACAACTTTTCACTATTTATGTTATGAGTCCCATGTAATAGGGGGTGATTATATTGCCATAAACCGGGCACATTTCCAGCTACTACTGAGATTTTTTTTAAAAACCCATTAGTACTTTGCGCGACCCGGGAATCGAACCTGAGACCCCTTGCCCGGCAGTCACACTTGCCACCACTCGGCCATCGAGGCAGTCTTCTTAAGTCTTAAAATAGGTATAAAAACCTTTTAGGGCTTAACTTGAATAATGTACTAACTATTCAATATGTAGAGGTATAATATTTTATCCGTAACATAAAGTGATTATGTGCTAATAATTATGTTTAATTGTTTCCAGATATCAACGTACGCCGTGCGAGTAGTAGTCGGCGGATAACAACGAAAAAAACACAAGTGATATAAAACGGACACTATTATAAAATTATATATGTATATCGATCGATCATGTGAGACAATTAGTTTTATTTCCTATAGACAATCTCCTTTTGTAGATAAATTAATATATTTGTACAATGTCCTTAAATAATAACTAATTCTAATTATTTCTATTAATTTTATTCAGGTCAGTACTAAGACTTTTGCTTTCTTGAACATTTAAAAATGTAATTCATTTATACTCATTATCTTTAATTAAATGAAAGTTCAGAGAGCCAAAGTTACTTCACTACTATAAGGTGTAAATAATGTATTTTAATGAAAACTATAATGTAATTCATTTAATGTCATTATTAGAATTAAGATTTATTCTCTTTTTTACCTCAACATAGTTACAAAGTAGTGAATAATTTTGTGTAACATTTATTTTTAAAACTTCCATTTAATTTTATTTAAGCTGTCCTGTGTGCACAATGGAAAGAAGATTTTACATTTATTATTACATTTAAAATCGTTATCATTTATGTAAGTTGTCTAATTTATTTTCTTTGTATTGTTATCAAATGTATTTTCTTCTGATGAAGCTGTTTAACAAACTATGCAAGTCAAATGCTAAGAAATATTATTTAGATTATTTTTGAAATTACTATGAGATTATTCGTGTTTTTTTTTACTTTTTATATAAAATGATTAGTTTTTAATTATACGTGTATAGCATGTTCAAATTAGCACGCTGTATGCCATAATTATGTAAACGTAATAAGTTCAAATAATTGTTTTATTATGAAATAATATTAGTTATCAAATCTTATCGTTTCCGTCCATTAATTATTATTATTGATTATTATTTTTCTCAAAGTTATTATTGAGATTTTTTGTAAATGTAAATATTATTATTTTCTCAGACCCGATGAGCATGCTTTTAATATTGTTTTAAAACATACGTCATACAGTTTAGAGAAACGCCAAAGACTTTAAAAAAAATATTGTAATGTCTTTAATATACAGCGCAGTATAATAATAGTTTATATTTTATATGAAAGAAAGCAATAACTGATCACCAAAGATACAAATAGCGGGCCTTTTTCTGATAATACATTTAAAAAATAGATACATTTCATTTAGTTATCAAAAAGAATTTAATATTACATTAAAATTAAAAATTATTTTTGTTTAATAATTTTCTTAAACAATTTAAATATTTCTCTTTTTTGTTTACTCGATTTTGTATATCTATTATTATTTTTTAATTTATTAGATAAAGGTCTGAGCTGTATAAAGTATTCTACTCATTTTTGTATAATAATAATATTTTTGCATTATTATCTTCCTATTTATTAATTTGGTGTTGCTTTTAATTTCTGGAAGCATATCGTTTAGTGATCGTCATTATAATAGATAAATGATTAAAATAATTATTAAAAAATACATGGAATTTTCTGTTTAATTTTTTAATAGGTATATTTGTAAGGCAAACGCACCAGTACGAAATAAAGCATATGAGTTTATAAAACAATAGCTTTTTACTCCTTTCTTGATTTAATATTCCTTTAATTTTTCTTCTCCTCTTATAATATCTTCAGATTTACTTCGTTGCGGGAACCAAGACAGTTATTCATGTCCCTGGGACGCGCCGGACTTCAGTGTTCCGGTGTTTTCATGGTTGTATCTACTGTAGGTCGGTTTTACGAGGTTGTGGCGGGCTTGTCCCACAAAAAAAGATATGCTCTTTCACTTACACTCAAAATAATAGCGTAAAATATCTAGTATTATACTTACAAAAAATGTTAAATAACCATTTACAACTACGAATCATCTAATACAATAAAGCCTTTATAATTGTAACTCAACCAAGAACTAAACAATAACTCCTATAAGGCATCCAAAAGTATAACCTCCTTTACTCTAACATCCAAAATTCAAAAACTCTTTAGAAACAAACAACGCTAAAAAAGAAGAATATCAAAAAAGAGAAAATTTTCAAACAACAAACTGTCAAACGTCAAATAAAAACAGCTCGAGGAAAAAAGACATCAAAATCAAAATGTAGTATTCTTAAAAAAATCAATTTAGACAAACAGATACAAAATTTAACGTGCAATCAATTTTCTTGAACAAATCTTGTTAATTGCTGTTCAATGGCTCCAAAAAGGAAAAAGAAGGCGAGAGACAGTATTTGCGATCCTCATCCCGCGAGCGCTGACACTCAAAATCTTCTCGACAGTGGGTTAAATCCCACAGGAAACACCAGGAGCGCAGAGAAGAAGAGAGTTGTCACCAGACAAGACCAGCCCATAAAAAGGCTAAGTCTTAAGAAAAATAAACAACCGCCAACTCACGAAGACCCACCACCGTGATAGAGAGAGAAAAGACAAAGAAGAAACGCCTTAGAGCAGAATTACACGAAAATTTGATCACGATAGATAAATAGGCCTAAGTAACACATTGATAAGTCAAAGCATAGAGCATAGCGGAAGAACTGCAAGAAGAATATCAGATATAGCCAAGAAATTCAGAGTATTATTGAATGCGCAACGGTCTCTGATTTTTGGAAGGAGAAGGACATGAAAATTGGTTATGAAGTTTGAAATATTACTAGTTGTATTGAATGTACTTAGAATGTCCGTTGCAAGACATTTGCTCATCTATGTTACTCTGGCCATGATTGAAGCACTTTGTGCAGCGAGCGCAGATCAAAACGTCCCATTTATGAATCTTCCGTACGAAGACGACAGCTCAAGAATCAGTATCTATAATACGACCATTTTCTACCAATCAGTAGTCATTACAATTTTGTCGTTCTTCAAACTAGGTATTTATTTAAACAATAAACTTTATCCAACTTCTTGTTCAATTGCATGAAATAAAATTTTGATTGCTATTTCTTTGTTTTATTTTTATTCGTAACAATTTTATTGGACTTTAAAAATGTACATATATCCCTAAAAAGATCCATCATTATCAGATGAGTTGTCTTCATCAAGTAGAGATCTACAGGTATCTGTCAAATTAATGTCTCTTAAGGTCATCATCGTCTCTTAAGATACCCGTAGGAAGCGAATCAAAAGCTGATGAAAATAGAAAATTCTGCCGTCATCACAGCAGTGGTCTCAGCAAGACGTTAAAGGCCCGGTGCCCACTATCTGCATTGGCTAGGAAAAAGATCCTTCGGCATCTTACATGCAAGCGCACACTGTCGGGAACTATGCTTTAGCATGCTGGATGACGAGGCATCCTTACGCATGGCGCACCGACATCATCTCAATTTCGTATTTCCCGTCCTAACAGTCTTAGACTTGTTACAAGCTAGTTGTCTGAGTTATGGACTGGGATCTAGTGCTCATAGCAGCTCTTGCTCAAGACGAAGAGAAATTTAATCAATTAAGTCGGCGGCCGGCGGCCGGAGGATGCCGAAGCATCCCGAAGCATTCCGAAGAATTCTCAAGGCTGCCGATACAGCGGCTTCAAGCATACCGAAGCGGTGTTTTTGTTATTACGACCATATGCACGGCAATTTCTACTTAATAGCCATTATGTTAATGTGTATTGTTACTTGCCACTTAAAATCCTCAAACGTTTTATTCTGCGACTCTGTTGCTCGACACGAAATTTACGTGTCCCGTGTCATCACCCGACGACAGTCGATGCTCAGCGAGCGTCACCATGCGTGACTGGGTGTCCCTCGACAGTTGCCGGACAGACTTTGGGTTGTGAGAACGTGTGTCGCTTTGTGTGCTGGAAATGGCAATAATGCGGTCTAACTGGAATAGTGACTCCTCCTTGGGCGAGATACTGATTACAACTGGCCAATATACACAAGCGAACTGTCGAGAGCCATTATATGCCCCACATAGTTGCAGAGGCATACCACGTGAATGTTGGACGATACGTCTCCGCGACATACCTGCTAGTGAAAACGCGACTTTAGAATTTCAAACTTTGCAACGCACTAATAAAATTATTCGTAGGTTTTTAAAAATATTACAGTAACAGAGTTATCGATAAATTAAAGACTCCATCATAAACGCAAATTGTATCATCATAACTAGTACTTCTGCTCATCAAGCCGGAGCCCCGGCAACCCGTTAAGTCCTGCGCGGCTCCGTAGATTAAATACCCTAAGGTTGTAAGTAATGAACCTTTTCACACCAAATGAAAATATTCGACTTCTTAAAAACAAAAACTTCCATCCGTCAAAACCATGTCAAAACCATTATCTGTCACAGAACTACAATAAAATAATTTCCAATCAAAACAATTTCAATTTCAAAACTCTCGCAAAATTTCAATAACGTCGGTTCAAACAAGAAATCTACAGGTGAAAATTTTCAAGAAGCAAAACAAATATGAAACTTGTCGAAAATAATGTGTGTATTGAAAATTATGAAGAAGACCAAAACGATGAAGATGACCATCAGAATGATGAAGACGATGAAGATGATGACGATTGTCCACCAACGATTGTTAAAACAAAGAAGGATTGTCCTACCAAAGAAGACTTTTGTCCGTCCCAGGACATCGACCCTTGCACGTTAGACAAGTCAAGCAAAAAAAAACGCAAAAAAGGAAAAGATGATGATGACTGTGAAGAAGAAAAAACCTGCGCAAATCCTATAACACCTAAACAAAGAGAAAGGCTGAAGAGAGAACACTTGGAACTGTGCAAAGCTTTCAAACAACCAACGTGCGCCCAAACTGCAGCCAAGAAGTCCAAAGACCCTTGCTAAGAACATAGTCAGATATCTGTTACCAGAAGATCCAACTAAGAAGAGACAAATAAAGATGTACAAACAGTAGTATGATATGCACCATAACTTTTGGAAACAAATAACAAAAACTTGTACGACAAAAATATAATAAAAATATTTCAAGAAGTACAGACAATTTTTTGATCATAAAATTAATCATCGTATACTCAAGTGTATAGTAGAACCGAATCAATATATGAAAGTAGCTCCTGCCAGCAGCTTCGCCTGCGTTGTTTTGGGATAAATGTAGAACTAGATTAAGATCTAGTATAACAATACTTGCTTGTATTTGTACCGGTTGTGTTCTGCGGAATTGTTTGATATGATGCCCAGGGCCACTTTCTATCATCGCACCGCTCGCCATCGACAGGGAGTTCACGCTCACACATTGGAGCCCAAATGGTTTTTTCCAGTGGGCTACAAAATGGGGTTCTTCAAGAGGGGAGTGAATAGGTTTCTTAAGGGTCGGCAAGACGCATGTAATGTCCCAAGTGTTGCAGGCGTACATCGGCCACGATAACTGCTTACCATCAGGTGGGCCGTGTGCTTTTTTGCCACCGTCGTGGTATAAAAAAATCTACCTCTGTTCCAAATTTCATCCAAATCTGAATGCCAATCACGAATAACTATCGCATTCGTAACGTAAGAGAATCGATCGCGTTTGCGCTCCGATTGGCCGGCTCTAGTGAACTAACCAATCAGCAAGCGCCGAACGCGCTCTATACTACATATTACGATTTTTTTATGGTGGAGAATCATCGAATGACTTCTCCCGCCTGGGTGAGGCGGGAGGGAGTATCAGACTCTTACTGACTAAACACCACCCCGTTCCTACTCCTGCACTTCGAGGTATTGGCATCAGACCTATTGGACCCCATCCGTGGTGGTCTGATGGCACTATGAGGCGCGCGCGGAACGCGACGCGCCGTACGCTCGGGTATGGTTGGGTAGGAGGCGCTTAAGCGCCGGCCCCGTCCTTTCCAACTTTGGAGTCAAACGTCAGAAGTGCTACACGAAGTTCCACCGACTGTCGAGGACGAGTCCAGGATAAGTAACTACCATCCAAACATTTTTGTTTATCACTACATAGCCACCGTTTGTCTGTCCCTATGTGTGCTTAGATCTTTAAAACTACACAACGGATTTTGATGCAGTTTTTTTAATAGATAGAGTAATTGTTAAGGAAGGTTTATATTATGTATAATACATGCATAATGCACCCGTGCGAAGCCGGCGCGGGTCGCTAGTTTTATAATAATACTAGTTTCTGCCAACGGCTTCGCTCGCTTTCCTGTCGGATAAAGTTTGAGTTATAAACATACTTGTTCTTTTTTTGCTCGTAACGAGTGCCTTCTGCTGGAACAGGTCGGCTCGCTCATTGTACTGATGGGCTAATCCAGTAGGGTAATGTAAATGTAATAAAATATGTATTTATTTAGATAGTAGACATAAAGTACTTTGTGTAAAAATGTGGTTAATCTAGCACGTAATATTTTCATAATAATTAATATTGACTATTAATAAATTGTTATTGAATAACAAGAGCACGGACAGGAGTCCGTGGAGAGCAACAAATGATATCATGTTATATAAAAAAACGTTTGTGACCTCCCATGATAGGGGTGGGGTTGTGGAGCAGTGAGCCGCAGTAGTAATTATGCTCCCAGAAGTAATTCTGGTAAGTTTGTAGTTCGCTTATTAGTTTCTTACAAAATTCAACCATGCATGAAAAGACTAATGACTGTTGATGAGGCGAAAGAGGCATGTAAGAATCGTAGCAATAGGGTAGATGCTTAATTTTTATTTTAATGTCCGTCTGGTACATTGTTTTAAATCATTAAGCACGTATTTTTTATTTTCTTACAGAAGCGAATGCTTTCGACGATTTCAAATGTCGCGTGACGTCACTTCTAAGTACATTTTATACGTAGAAATGACGTTTTAGCCCCCACTCCTAAACTTTGATTCGTTTTATCTAAGTGTTGTTTTATTATACGATAATATTAAAAACACGGGTCTTTTTTGAGGGTAATATACGATAAAATAAAAATCACGAAACTACGAGAAATTAACACAGATATATAAAACTCTTTTTACGACTTTATTTTAAACCAGCCAGCTATGCCAGACATCGTGAAAGTCATAAGAATAACCTCTTTTGTAATCAAATTTTTTTAGAATAATTGACATAACACATTATTATACACTTTTGTCATACAGAACGAACCAAAGCCAGAAAAATGGCACCAAAATCAGCAACGTAAAATATTTTATTTCAGCTCTGCTCTGCTTATATATCCGGCAAAATGTAAGTCAGATAAGCAATCGAATTTTTAAATATTATGCATCTCGAAAAATTGGGGAATGAAAAATGTGATGTTGGTTCTCTCTTCAAAGCTATTGAGAAAGAAACACAAACTAAAAAGCCAAATGCAGTGAAGAACACTAATTGTTCAGAGAAATCCTTTAAATTACCGCTTCCAAGGGAACTAGAAAAGAAGGACAATGAGGAAGGAACATTAAAAGTATTTTCATTTAGTCAAATTATACAGGATCCTGACTGTCCAACTTCTGTTACAATAGTCAAAGAATCTCTCACTGAAGAAGCTCACCCACACGATGATGATGCTTGCTCAAATAAATACAAGTATTGCAAAGAAGTTATAAAACCATTTTTACAACCTTACCCACCGGGTTGTCCGAATTCTGGACAATTACTTATCAACGATGCTGTAAAGGCTGCTTCGGAAGAGTTTCCTGAAAACCCACCTTGCTACGAAGTGCCTGCACCGGACAAAAAAAAACAAAACTGTGCATCAAGCTGCCAAACACCACCAGTTTCGAAATGCCCAAGCAATTCTTGTACAGATTCAGGCGAATCTGATTCTTGTTCCCCTAAGAAGGACGCTAAATGTTGTAGTTGTCCAAAAAAAGAAAAGAAAGATAAATTCTGTGAGTCTCCTAAGAAGGAACCAAAATGTTGTAATTGTTCAAAAAAAGAAAAGAAGAAGGAAAACCCGTGCGACTCTGGTCCTAAACCAAATTTTAGACTCTGTCCAGGTCAAACAGAACCAAAAATTTGTATAGAAATAACAGATCCTAGTTTATGCCCAGGTTGTCCCAAGCCACGTTGTGGGAAAAAACCTGAGGATAAGTGTTGTTGTGCGTGCCTTATAGGTAAACAAGATCTTGATAATCCTTCAATAAGTCCACAAAAATCTAATAATTCAAGCTGGCCATCAGGTATAGAATCAGATTGCTGCGATAAATCTTCCGAAAGTAAAAGTTGTATAGGCAAATTATTGACTTCATTAAAAACATTATCGGACAGTTGTTTAAAAAAAGGGAAGTCCACACAAGATAAGCCACCGTGTTGTTGTGGTAAACCTCCAAGTCCACCACCTCCCTGTCCACCACCTCCTTGTCCACCTCCTCCACCGTGTTCTTGTGAATCACCTAAGCCTAAGAAGTGTCCTCCTAAGCCGTGCCCTCCTAAACCGTGCCCTCCTAAGCCGTGTCCTCCTAAGCCTAGTCCTGCGAAGCAGTGTCCCCCTCCACCGTGCCCACCTCCACCGTGCCCACCGAAGCCAAAACCGTGTTCTCCTAAGGCGTGTCCTGCAAAGGCCAAACCGTGTCCTCCTCCACCGTGCCCACCAAAACCAAAGCCGTGTTCTCCTAAGCCGTGTCCTGCTAAGCAGTGTCCTCCTCAACCGTGTCCAAAGCCGTGTCCTCCAAAGCCGTGCCCTCCAAATCCGTGTCCTGCTAAGCAGTGTCCTTCTAAGGAGTGTCCTGCTAAACCCTCTTCTCCAAAGCCGTGCCCTCCAAATCCCTGTCCTGCTAAGCAGTGTCCTTCTAAGGAGTGTCCTGCTAGACCCTCTTCTCCAAAGCCGTGCCCTCCAAATCCCTGTCCTGCTAAGCAGTGTCCTTCTAAGGATTGTCCTGCTAGACCCTCTCCTCCAAATCCATGTCCAGCTAGACCCTGTCCTCCTATGCAGTGTTCTACTTCAAGAAATACAATGGTTGACAGTCCACGGGAGAACCCATCAAACAAAAACAAACCATGTCCTCACAAAACTCCTGACGAAAGTTGTGATAAAGAATGCCCATCAAACAAAAATAAACCATGTCCTCACGAAACTCATGACGAAAGTTGTGATAAAGACTGCCCATCAAACAAAAATAAACCATGTCCTCACGAAACTCATGACGAAAGTTGTGATAAAGAATGCCCATCAAACAAAAGCAAACCATGTCCTCACAAAACTCCTGACGAAAGTTGTGATAAAGACTGCCCATCAAACAAAAGCAAACCATGTCCTCACAAAACTCCTGACGAACGTTCTGATAAAGAACGCTCACCAAACAAAAATAAACCATGTCCTCACGAAGCGCATGACGAAAGTTGTGATAAAGAATGCCCATCAAATAAAAATAAACCATGTCCTCACGAAACTCATGATGAAAGTGGTGATAAAGAATGCCCATCAAACAAAAACAAACCATGTCCTCACGAAACTCATGACGAAGGTTGTGATAAAGAACGCTCACCAAACAAAAACAAACCATGTCCTCACAAAACTCCTGACGAATGTTCTGCTAAAGAACGCTCACCAAACCGATATAAACCATGTCCTTATGAAATTCCTGCCAAAAGTTCTGATAAAGAACAGCCACCAAGCCGATACAAACCATGTCCTACCGAAAGCCCTGACGAAAATTCTGCTAAAAAATCAGCGTCCGATAAAAAGCTATACCAAAAAAATTCAAAGACCGACTTACAAAGTAAAACATCTTCAAAAGATATTCATGGAAAGAACGGCACAAGTTCTGGCTTAATATACAGTAGTCCTAAAGGCCCATGCAAAGTTGATGACATTACAAGTCAGCTAGTACAAGTAGCAAATACAAATGAGAAGCCACATGTGACTAATACTGGTGGTCTTTGCTGCTCCTGTGGTCAAGAAGAAAAACCAAAGCCTAAACATGCCTGCAAAAATCCTGTGAGGACACCACCTGTCTGTAACCCGAATTCAAGTTCTATGCTCGGTAAAGCAACAATGGACGCACATAATGAAACTATAGCTACTCTCAAATGTGCCATGAAAGACTTTATGTGCAAAGTTTTTAGAACTACACAAGAAGCTGTTTCAGTTATCTCTTGTGAAAGTAATAAACAGTATGAAAAGCTGAAAAAATCGGTGTCAGATATGACTTCAGACTGTCCACCACCGAAAAAAGTAAGCAATGAATCTGGTAGTGAACCTAGCAACAATAATCTGAGGCGATTCAGCATTATAAACATGACCAAACTTCCTGAGACAATAAATATACCACCATGTAAACCACCAGAACCTTATCCCAGTACCGCAAGTGGATATTTTGAAGCAGCACTTGATAAAGTTACCTCTGCCGCATCAATGATCAGCAGGTCACTAATTTTTGACCTACCAGCTCAAATGAAACGAAGTTATAATGATGATAGTTCAGAGTATGATATTCCTAATTATACTAAACCGAGAGATGTGGACAATTTAATGAATCCTTTCGAGGTTAATGTATTTACAACAATCAAGGACAAAATCTGGTCTATATTTGTTGATGATGACAAGCAAGAAAGAGAAATTCGATCCACAATGTCCAGCTCTGAATCTTTAACCTCTGAGAGTGATGAGGATCTTATAAATAAGATTATAGATTAAATAAATCTTTCGAGTTGCTATTTTTGTTTCACTTTTTATGGTATAAACGAACAGACGGATCACCTGATGGTAAGCAATCGGCATCGCCCATGGACACCTGAAACACCAGAAGCGTTACAAGTGCGTTACCAGCCTTTTGAGGATTAGGAATTTGAGGATTGTTGGGTATTCAGGAGTTGGGAACATTGGGGAAGAATAATTGGGCCTCCGTTTCATTTGTGTTCATAGACACGTTCGGTGTCATTGTACCTATAATATTTTTGTTCGTCTTATAATAACTCTTCTTTCAGAAGATTACGGTATCTCTTAGTTCTACTGGGTGTCCTTCAAGAGCGATCATGAAGTGACGGAGTGTAACAAGTTAAAATAGGGCTACAATTTATATTTAATCAATGACTGTGACTGTCCAAATTTAATGCCCATGGTGTTCCCGTTAAGTATCCGTAGGTAGCAGTTAATCAACCAGGTCAAATGGTTCAGTTACCTCGAGGGACAACCTTTGTTCACCTGAGAATTAATGCACCATGGCTTCTTTTAACATAGAGGATGATGAAGTACTCGGTGGCCGCTGCCGTTGCCTTCTCGCTACATTTACATGCCTTGTTAAAGATTCTAACCTAAGTTAATCAAATTTGCTGGTAAGAAGACTATAAATGCAATTTTTTGCATTAAAAACATACCAAATTCCAAACCAAATCTACTTCTACCAAACTAGAAAGAAGAAAATAAAAATGATTAAAACCTTCTTATACACATAAAAAGGGCGTATGCTGTCAATATTACCAGTAGTTGAAAAAGAATAAAATAAAACAAAAATACTGGCCAAAAATCTCAGTCCGTCAGCCAGCCGAACCAAAACACAACTCAAAAAAACTGATCAGGTGACATTCAAAACTGTTCAAAACCGGCCTCACCCATTCAAATTCAAAAATATTTCAACAAAAATGGTTTCAATAATTTATTGAAAAATGTCTGAAGATGAGCCATGCACAAAGAACTGCAAGAAAAGGAAGAGTAAGTGTCTCCCTTGCGTGATGCCGTACTCCGATGACTTAATTTCTGAAGAGAAACACCAGCTCCCCAAAACGACACCCCCTCCATCATGCCAGTGCACTGCTGAGAACCCTTGCTGCAATGTCCAAAATACAGAAAACATACAATACCAACCACAACAAAAACGGTCATTGAGAAGAAAATTTTCCTAAAACGTCTACTTTAGCTATTGAAAAAGGTCTAATTACGATTTAAAACAAAGAAGGTAATCCAATTTTCCATCATTTAATTTATTCACTAAACACAGACCTTTCACACCTTCCTATATCTTTTTAGGGAACAGAGAGTATAGTTCCCTAAGATCGGAAAAGGAGGATCCTCCGACCAGGCGAGGTGATCGTGCCTGGCGGGCTTTCTGCCCAACAGTTGTTCGTTGGGATTTTCTATCTGTGTTTATTCGTTTGTAAACTTTGCATGTGCGATGTAGGATTCTTGTGACGTCATCCGTTGACATGTGGCATGCGTCGCCACATCACTCCCTCCCAAGACCGGAGGTCGATCCCGCTGAGACGGCTGTCGATGCTTGAGATGAGTGGCGCCAGAGCCAGTGTAGAACGTCCCTAGTTCCAGTGGGTCGGAACCGTGCCGCTGAGTGCCCAGTGAGTCGGGTGAGCGGTGCAGGGTGAAACTTCCAGTGAGTCGGAGAGATGCGTTCGCAGTGTCCCACGGTGAGTCGGGGAAGAGATGCTGCGAGGGTAGGTGCGTAGTGGCCGGCATCTGCGTTGACGGGAGGAGGTGTCCTTCAGACCGTGTGCAGAAGTGCTGTGCCTAGACGCTGGTAAGGCCGTAGGGAAGAACCAGGCTGCACAACTTCGTTGCAGGTGATGGTGGTCCCTGATGAGGCCGAGGATGCTGGTTGGCTGCGACTTGGTTACCGCTCAGCGGAGAAGTGATGAATGAGAGGGATGGCGATACGGATGACGGTGCTAATCTGCTCCGTGAAGTGAAGGTTGTTTCCAATCACGTCGGGGTCACCACTTTAGGGAACAAGAGAGTATAGTTCCCTAAGATCGGAAAAGGAGGATCCTCCGACCAGGCGAGGTGATCGTGCCTGGCGGGCTTTCTGCCCAACAGTTGTTCGTTGGGATTTTCTATCTGTGTTTATTCGTTTGTAAACTTTGCATGTGCGATGTAGGATTCTTGTGACGTCATCCGTTGACATGTGGCATGCGTCGCCACATCTTCTTTAGATAGTACTGCATCATCTGTAGATCATTTCAACTCTATTGCCAATATGATTTGCCCGCTAAAAAGAACTTCAACTTTACGATATTTATCACTAAAGTCCTACTTCATCTAGTCAATATCATTTATAGAAACCTTAAATTTGCTTGTAAAATATTAAATCTTTTCTAAAAAGTCTTTATCTTTCATATAGATACAAGATTCAAGATGGGAGACATTATAAAAGTGAAGTACTGCAACTTGAAGAATCAATCTGAATCTGAAGCGCTCCCTAGCTGCGGTTCTTGTAAAGGATCGTACCTACGGCCATTTTTATGTTACGAGAGATTGAAGAACCCTGCAGCAGAGTCCTGTACGTTATTTATAATATTGTTATATAAATCCTCAATTTAATCGCACAGTAATTTTCTGGTCTATACTACGTTTAAATTGCTAAATCAAGACTCAAAATGGAGTAAAAACAGTCGGTCATTTTCTAAAAAAAAGTCGTAACTAATGTCTTTACCTTTTCTCTTCAGCAATTGCCGTAGGAGGCTCCTACACGAATGCCAGTTTTTGCGCCCAACCTGGTCTACAAACACACTATGATGCCAGTCCACAATTCAATAAGAAGAATAAGAAAAAGGGCTACCATGTCCCAAGCCTGAGCTACCACAGAATTAAAAACCCCGAATGGCCTAGAAGACCAATCTCTTCTAACTTGGACTTCAACATATAATTACAATTCCGTTGAACAATAAACGTAATGAGTGTCACATAAATGGCCTTTTTCTCTCATCTTCAGTCATTTGAGACGATAGACATCCAAGACTTTTAATTTTGTTTATTTTTTACATTTAATGGCCCGACGTTTGGTCACGTATCTTGCCTGTTTGTAAGCGATGATGCGGCCTACGATAGACCACGTCTGTCTATAAGCAAATTCACTCGGGCCTTGAAGACATCCAGGTTATACCTACCCTTTAGGAAACGAGAGTCTCTGGCAGAGAATTCCACTCATACGCACAAAGGAATCTTGATGCGAAGCGCTTCGTGCGTGTAGATGATAATGATAACAAACAAAACCAGTATTTTAGTTTAAGGAAAGTACATAGGTACTTTTCGTTAGGCCTCTTGTTAACCGTACGGCATATTAGCCGTACGGTTAACAAAACGTGCAAGCTTGTACATGGCACGGCGAAGCTACCGGTCGAGACAACGGCCAGATGCTGCTCAGTTTATATTTTTACCGACTTCAAAAAATGGAGGAGGTACTATGTTCGGCTGATTGTTTTTTTTTTGTTTGTTCGCGCTGTACTCCGCCATTTGTGAACCTATTTCGAAAATTCTTGTTTTGTTTGAAAGGGTATACTCCCGAGATGGTCCCATTTCCATGAAGTCAGGATCTGATGATGGGATCCTAGGGAAACCGAGGGGAACTTTCGAAAGTTCTAGGGCACCGACTTCTTACCTATCAGTGGGTGGGTAACCTATCAGTACTAATAATAGTTATTTTTTGCTTTTTAGTTTTGATTTTTTGTTTGTTATTAGTTTTTGGTTTTTTAAACGCAGTTTTTTTCTGCAGCTTTCTAAAGATTTCTTTCCAAGAATCGTACTTAAGCCGCTTATTTTTATAATCGACAACAGTCTTATCCCATATTACAGGTCTTTCATGAACTAGTGTAATTAGTAATTCTTGATATGTTCATAACATAACATAACATCACGCCCTTTTATCCCCGAAGGAGTAGGCAGAGGCGCACATCATACCACTGTACAATGTAACACCCACTTTTTACTATTTAGGTTAGGAGTCCCATGTAATAGGGGGTGAGCCTATTGCCATTATACCGGGCACAATTCCAGACTCCGTGCTACTACTGAGAATATTAGAAAAACCCAGTAATACTTCGCGCGACCCCGAGACCCTCGCGGGAATCGAACCCGAGACCCTTTGCCCGGCAGTCGCACTTACGCCCACTCGACCAACGAGGCAGTCTGTTCTGTTATGTATCTTACTAATACCATAAATGTGAAAGTTTCTAAGTTCGTGAATTTGTGTGTATGTTTATTAGTTAATCACGTAAAAGACTGAAGGACTCGGGATGAAATTTGGAACAGAATAGATTTTTTAAGGGTGGGATATCAAATCGAATTACTTACTTCTCCCGCCTGGGTGAGGCGGAAGACAGTGTCAGACTCTTACTGACTAAAAACCACCTCAGTTCTACTCCTGCTCTTCGAGCCGGAGCCCTGGCAACCCGTTAAGTCCTCCTCGGTTCCGTATCGGCCGCATCAGCCCTAATTGGGCCCCATCCGTGGTGGCCTAATGGCCCTTTCATGGCGCCGTACGCTTGGAAACAGGGATATGGTCTGGAGTCTTTATAAAACATAGAGTAGTTTTTATCCCTCGGAATGCAGTCGAAGCCGCGGGCAGAAGCTAGTTCTTAATAAAAATAAATTGAATAGCGACCAGCACTTGATAGTGGTCCCAAGACATTCAAAAGTTCCTTTTTCTCGACATTCTTGACACTTCTATCTATCTTTAGGGCTCGTGCACAAAACAGCGATGCGACAACGCATCGCAAAAATGTGCGAGCTCCCTCTATGCATCACAAGAACATAGCGCATCAATATCTTATCTTCCCAAAATCTTCATTGTTTATTTTCCTGTATCTCCTAAGTAATACAACAACAGACAAGTAATACACCTTTTTTAAGACCTAGTTGGCAATTTAAAATACGTTTAGTAGGTACGGTTGACGGTCGTCGAAGGAATGGTCTGGGAGACGCCTTGTCGCACGAAATCGCATCGTAGCAATTAGCATGGTAATTTTTTGCGTTGCGAATTCGCATCGCATTGCATCGCATCGCAGTTTTGTGTACGAGCCTTATACGCCAAGAAAGCCTCTTTCATTTAAATATAACTGGCAGCCGATTTCATAGAATCTCCTGTTGTTTTGACACATTTGACTTGACTGTAAGTCACGGTGACGCAAATCCTATAAAATGGATTTAGAAAAATTTTATTAAATTCCCCAGTAGGTAAATAATGTTCTATAAGAAATGTATACCAGATAAAGTTGAGAAAGGTAAAGTTGAGAATTCTATAGCTTCGTAGGCTCCATATTATTCTTTTGTTACTTTGTTAGATTTCCTTATCCGTATCTCGTACTATGTTCTTTAAATAGACTCTTAACAACAAATGTTAAAGAAATAACTAATATATTAAGCAACAGGACACGTTTTAAGATTGTATTTTACCAAAACTACGCTGCTACTTACAAATAAACTACAAAACAACAACTTCATTCTTGCGGCCACCGACCAGAGAGATGGTTTTTATCAAGCATGTAATTTAAACATTTTATTCACAACAGATGAGGACTCCTTATTAGACGCATGTGAGCTCGAAAAGAAGAAAAGAGAACTTGCGAAGAAGAAAAAGAAAAAATGTGTAAAAAAACCCATTTGTCCACCACCGCCTGAACCGGAGAAAAGTATTTGCGAAGGACGTTCTAAAGAACCGCCTTGTTTATGTTTAGAAAAAATAAAAAACCCACCTATAGATCCGAGTGCATTTAAAGACGAACAAGCAATTTTAGATGCATTACGTTTCACGTGTATGGTAAAACCGAAGCTTCCAGGACAGGATCGCTGTGATAAAATACGTGATTTAGAAAATAACCATCCTGATAAATCTAAACCTAATTGCGAACCACCCCCACCACCACCTCCCCCTCCAAAACTAGATCCCTGCGAAGAACAAGACAGAAGAGCGAAAATCGCAGAGTGCAAGGCAAGAATGAAAAGATATTTAGAATAATGGCTGACGGTAAGAGCTCAGACAACAGCCCACGTGGTTCTCATGTTGATTCTCTTATAGATAGGCTCAATTTAGAAGTCCCAAGACCTTCGGACGATGATTTCGTTGATGGTAGAAGGCTTACAATCCATCCAACAACCCATAGACACGAGATGTCTACTAACAGCTCTCATGATATTGATAGAGAGATAACCGAATTAGAAGGCCTAATTAAAAAGTTACAAACTGAAATAGTTGAGATGACAAAGTCTGCTAACAAACCACTACCTAACTTTGATGCTCATTTTTTAACTGAGAACGATGATGATGATGATGATGACGAGGAGAACGGTAGTAACAAAAAGGAAGCAAACCACATACCAGTTAAAAAAGATGACGAGAAGGAAAAAAGGAGAAGTTTCAAACTTTCGAAAGGTCCACACAATCCTGATGTCTTTCCGATAATAATAAAAAATGATAGTGTGTTAGAAGCACAGGCAAAAATGTTTGCAGAAAATATGGCTAATTTAATAAAAATTTCCGATCCAGATATTGACACTTTAGACGACGTAAGACGAAATTTTTCTATGCTGTGGGATGATGAAGACGTTACAGAAGACATATCGTCCATTAATGACAGTCCACCGAAACCTTTAAATGATCCTTCTTTTAAACCATCAGATAATCCTAAAACTCAGTTAATAAAAAATGTTTTTATAGAGTCCTTTGATACTTTGAATATTAACACACAAGAAGAGCTTAATGTTAATTTTCCAATAGACCTAAAAGACAAGGTAGACAAAGTTTATAAAACGACTGATGATAACACACAAACAAAATTGAAGGATCCTGATTGTATAGAATTTAATGGAAATACGGCAATAGTTTCAGATAAGCGAAATCGTAATTCCACTATAATTATGCAAGCTAAAACTTCTGGTAATCCGCTTAAAGATAATACCAAAAACGTTCACATCGAAAAAGATTCCGGGGCCATAGCTGTATCAATTATGGATAAACCTACAGAAATAATAACACAAAAAGATAAACCTTCAATAAATAAAACCAGTGATGATAACACACAAACCAAATTAAACGATCCTGATTCTACAGAATTTAATAGAAAAGTTTCAATGGCTTCAGCAAATCGAAATCGTAATTCTACAATAATCATGCAAGCTAATACTTCTGGCAATCCGGTTCAAGGTAATACTAAAAAGGTATATAAGGAAAAAGATACCGGGACCACATCTGTATCGGTAACTGATAAGCCCACGGAAATGAAAACAGAACCACTTCCAAAAACAGTTATTACAGATATAAAAAATGCAATGCAAAATATACTTTCTTCTAGCAGTGAGAATACATCTATTTCAAGTGATACAAACAAACATCCCTCTTTAGCTGAAAAATTAGCTGCAAAAAGCGAAAGTTATAGTATAATTAAAACTTTACGAAGAATTGTTGGCAAAGACAGTGCAAAATCCATTCATAGAGAGGAAAAGAATAGTCAAGACCAAAACTGTTCAACAGGTGAAAGAAAAAGTAGCATAATAATAAAAGATAATCATAAAAAGGACACAAATAATATTGTAACTGGTTTGGCTCAAAGCATCTTACCCAAACTAGGTAAGGAAGAGAACCTTGGTAAAGAAATGCAGCAAGCTTCTAGTTCATCAGTCGAAAAAAATAAAGAAGATACTACTGTGATTACTCATCCAAAAAGAAATTACGAAATCGTGCCTATTAATGTAAGCCCAGTTGAAGAACAGGAGCCCTCAGCTCCAAGTGCCAACAGCAACGAACTCGCAAACTTCATCAATAATAGCAATTTGCAAACATTAGTATCTGTCAACACTAAAGGTACAAGCGCGATGCCGAAGGAGCTGGAAAATATGATGAATCCTGTTCAGGAGTCGAATACGGACGTTGATAACACTATAAGTAGTACTCATAAAACAATCCCTGACGCTTTTAGCCAAAATGTTATTATTGAAGATGCAAAAACTGTTTTAAGAAATACCACTAGTGCGGCAGGAAAAAAATCTGGAGCCGTGGAAAATCCTGTTGTAATAACTGATGGGCTAGCTGAAGGAGATATCCACAATAAATGTGAATCCGTGGGCAATGACGATGATACCTTTGATGACGAAGATGATAGCGATGATGATGACGTCGAGGAAGGTGACAGCAACAACCCGTATGATGTAGACTAGATACAAACTGAAATAGACCTTCTGAGTAATGAATAATGTGTTTTTTTTGGTGAATTTTTAAAAGTACACATAATATTAAGGTGCTTACTTAAAGAAACTGGTTTCCGGTACAGAGAAATCTGTACGGGTCGGTAACGACAGGTGCAGGTATATTATTTCAATGATTACAATCTATTCGCTCACTTATAAAGAAACTTGTGCCAACTGTGCCGACACGAATAAATATGACTCGAATGAAATATATTACCTGCACCGATTGGTACCGACCCGTACAGATTTATCTGTACTGTAAACCTGTCTTTACGTAAGCATCCTTAGTCAATACGATCAATAATGAAATGAAACGAGGTAATTAAAATCCATTCCAACAATTTATTCACAATAACAAGTATAGTTTCATACAAAATACATCATTTTAAAATATTTATTCGTACTAAATAAACGTTCACGATAAAACTTAAGCAAGCACATTATGACTAGAATTTACTCGAAAATAATACCCATATAATCTTTACACATTATATATATTATACCGTTTATATTTATATACTTTTAATTACTTTATAATATTTTTTATAGCAGAAAATATCGCAATATTTAAATTTTAAGGCGATTAAAACATGTTTTGGCACAATTTTCACCTCTATCCATATTTATATAAGGCACATAGCCGCGTACAATATACTGTATACATATTAGGTAAAACGTTTCATTTAAAAATTCATTTCTTACCACAAATATACCATAATCTCTTACCCCATAGGGGGAAATTTCTAGAAAAAACACATTGGGACCTTTAAGCCAAAAGCTATTATTTACAAAATATTCTTCAAAAAATCAGTTTTTTTGTCCTCCTGTAGCCCTAAGGTCCGTGGGCCTGCGAGCCCAGGCGTGGGCAACAAACCCTCACGGTAGTCAACCGGAAGGGTAACATAGTATTCCAAATATAGTAGTCGTGGGGTCTATTTTTTCCTTGGTGGGGGTTGCATGGGAGGTTGATGAAAGGGATGATATTGTCTTGACAATATACTTTCCTGAAAAAAGAAAACAATTATGTTAGCATTTTTATATAAGTGAATGTGTGACTATCGTGGTGTCCCGGAGTTTTAAGACGTCTCTCATGCATAAGGGTGCAGGTTCGAAACCTACCAACGGCAAGTACACATTTGACTTTTTCCGAGTTACATGTTTGCAGGACAGTTTTCAATCGCCAACTCGTATTGAGCAAGCGAGGTGATTATTGCTCAAACATTCTCCGCGTGAGAAAAGGCTAAGCAAACTTAGCAGGGGGCACTTATAGGCTGTTGATGATGATGATATTAAGTGACTCTTCAAGTATAGTTTTGGTGCGATCCGTAGACAGAACAGTGTTCCTAAGTTTTTAAATTTAAAATTTTCATTGCCCAGTATTCAGAATTATTTCTAGTAAAGAAAGACTCCATTAGAGAATAGGGCTACATAGGAAAAACTTAACAGATCTGCTAATACTATGCGCGGAATAGTTATAAAGGAAAACGCACGACGTCGTCATCACTGATTTTAAAACCGATGGAGAGTCGATTTTATCGAGTAAGCTCGAACTTCTCTAACGTCCAATTTCAATAAACACTTTTTGTATGGAGCTCATGTCAAAATTCTATCTCTAGTAAGCAAATCTAGAGGTACAGATAGATAGGTTATAGAAACTGGCTGTAAGAAGATATGGTGTTTCGTGCCGTATCCAAGGAAGACATCACAGTAAGTGGTGATAAAAAACTAGAGAACAAGAAGAGACAGAAGAAAAGTAGATAGGTCTGGAGGAAAACCTTTGCTGTGGAAACAGTAAATGTTAATAAGAATAAGAAAAAATCTTACCACATCGTTGGGCCTGCCCTGGGCAGCATCCATCCTTCTCTCTTGCAATATAATTTGATTGGCAGCGCTGTAAACACCGGCATTATGTTAGTTCAGATTATATTTGCTTACAATACTAAAAACCACTTTAAGTATTTTTTTAAAAAACCCACATAATTTGGTGACCAAAAGTCTTTGCCCAGTCCAAAACTACAGCGCCATCTGTTAAATCGGCCTCACAGAAGACCGACGTGAAACAACGCCTGCGTTGTGTTTCGTCGTGTAAGTAAGGTTACCGGAGGCCCTCTTATCCCCTCCCAATTCCCCAATCCCTAAATCTCCAACAATCCTTAAATTCCTAATTCCAAAAGGCCGGTAACACACTTGTAACGCCTCTGTTCCAGATGTCCATGGGTGACGCCGATAACTTACCATCAGGTGATCCGTCTGCTCGTTTACCGGCTTATCCCATTAAAAAAATCCAAAAAATAAGATTTATTGTCAAAAATAAGTAAAACAATATATCTCACGTATCCATCTCCTCTTGTGTGAGGTCGAGCGCTTCTTGCATCTCGCGTGAAGTGCTCTGAATGAAGTCCTTGTCACAGTACTTGCCGAGCCCCTGTTCTGTCAGTACCTGTACAAAATATACCGGTTATTACCTGACATCATCATCAACAGGTCATGACAGTGTATTCAGTGCTGGATTCAGAGCCTCCTCTACATAGAAGGAGTTTACTATAAATCACTACGGTTGGCAAATGAATTGGAGATTGCTAAGTTAAAGTTCAAGTTTAGCAAAATAGTTCTACTCAATAATCTCAAGTCTATGACGATGATGGAACTGAAAATACTCTAAATAAAAATGTCATACAAAAACATATAAAAAACATAACATCACGCCTTCTAAGGCAGAGGTGCACATTACGGCAGTTAATACCATTGTACAATGTAACACCCACTGTTCACTATTTATGTTATGAGTCCCATGTATAGGGGTTGAGCCTATTGCCATATATCGGGTACAATTCCAGACTCCGTGCTACTACTGAGATTTTTTTAACAACTCTATAGTACTTTGCCTGAACCGGGATTCAAACCCGAGCTTGCCCGGCACTTAGCCACGAGGCAGCAGAAATATATTACAACTAATGAATAATAATAATCTTTCTACAAAACAGGTCTTCTAATAGCTACGAAATGAAATATATTTCTAGAATAAAAAATAATATAAGGTATAAAGTTCTAGCTACTTCTAACTACGTTTCAGTCTAAGTTACAAGAAATACCTAGGTAATGCCCCATGAGGTAGCTAGAAAAGACAAAATTTTATCGTTACTTGTCGTTCAAATATATTTGTCAATTGATCAATTGGTATAAGTCGACAAGTCTGATCAGATTTGAAGTCACATTGATCACAAGGTACGAGTTTGATATATGGATTCTCTACGAGAACACGACGGCGAGTAGACGTGCCTTAATTGCAATATTTATTTTTTATTCATGTAAACAATTAGTCAATTAAGTATTGACCTAGATTATACAACATTTATTAAATTTTGTTTAGTTTGTAATACACTATGTTACATAATTAAACGTTAACATGGCTAACATATGTAGAAAATAGCCCTTATAATCGGAGTACGAAAACGTGTCGCAGCCCTCCCAGCACTCCGCAACCCGCAGAACATGCTGCCGAAGAGACCTTGGAAGCACTCTCGACCAGTGACATTAAGGGTTGGATGGTGACAATAGAAAAGGCTCTCAATGATGTGTGCCAGATTGCTGCAGAGGGTAAGTTGAACTCTGAGCAGAAGCTTAATATTAACACTTAAATGTTTGTTGTTGTTTGTATAGTTTTCCAAAATCGAAATTCTTAACAACGGAATGTCTGACTGTATTCGATTTTGCTTACTTTCCATGACTGTAGCAATTTAGGGCTGGATTTTCGTCCCGCTAAAATTTAAAAATCGTAGTCCTGCCCACGCTTCGCTCGAATGGGCTCCGCGCTCGCGCCAACAGCCAACAGTCACCACCGAAACGTTCAGTGAGTGAGCATGTACTGTAAAAGCTCCACGATCCCTCCAATTTTCTCAGTTTCTTGAAATTCATTGTGAACAGAGTCCAGCCCTAATCTGCTACAATGACTATAATTGCCGAGAACTTTGCTATGTAACTCAGTTGTATGTTGTATGTTCTCACAAGAAAAACCGTTTTTTTCCATTCAAATGCATTTTCGTTCTATTCCCGATCTCTGTTTCCCCGTAAATTATTTAAGTCATATTTCCTTTCAAATTGAACCTTATAGTAACCTGGTTTAAAGTACTTACTCGAGTAATAAGATTCTCCGCTGGATTCTCTATGCAATAAGGCACGTTGTTGAGAGGTCTCGTCCTTTTGTCACGATCTGAAACACGGTGAAATAATCTGTGTTACTCGATAACAATTGTAGATGGCGCTGTCTTCAATGTTCACAAGTCAAATCGCAACATCATTCAATATTATCTGGAATATTCACTTGATTGTTTCATCAATCAATGAAACAAACAAAGTAAATCATTAATTTATAAACAGTTTTTCTTATATTGAAACAATGTTTAATGTCAAACGAGTTTCATGCATCGAGTTTGGTAGTATTCATGACTAGCATTCATACAATTTCGGAGCGTTACCATTAAAGAAAAATCTTTTCAAATTAATTATTTAATTGCATGCTTAAACTTACCTCTTTCTTACCAACCACTAGTATCAGTAACGAAGAATAGTGTGTAACACAAATATATAGGAAGGCAAATATTTATCATGCAAGGTTTGTAAAATAATTTAAGTAAGTTTCATACAGTATTATAATAGCAAATAATATGAAAAAATCAGAACTACACAATCACAACACACTAAAACGGACTTACAGTTCTTTCTCATAGTCTGCATTAAATCGTTGGACGTTTTTCTGCGAATATTATTCGTTGTTATAGCTGATATTAAAATATTAAGACCATTTTTTCTGTTCAAAACCCTTTTATGTCTCACTACCGCCATCTATCTTATATGGCTCTAAATGTTTACATGACTACCTTTGTTTGTTCCAAACGTAGTAGTTCCAATAAAAAATATAAGATGGCGCTGTACTACAAATTGTAATGGAAACGATTTTAATGTGCCATGAT